GGCGTTGCTGTATTAAGATCTCGAAAATCAATGCATACCCTGAGTTTCCCATTCTTTTTAATCACAGGTACTACATTCGAAACCCATTCAGGATATCTTGAAGTTCTAATGAACTTTGCCTTTAATAATCTCTCTATCTCTTCTTTGATTTTCTCGATCACTTCTGGAGCGAATCTTCGAGGATTTTGCTTAATGGGTTTCTTTCCGGATATCATGGGTAAACGGTGTTCCACCAATTCTCGATTCAATCCCGGCATTTCATCATAATCCCATGCAAAACAGTCCTTATATTCATGCAATACTCGAATTAATTCCTCCTTGAATTCTCCTTGCAAGAACTTGCTGATGTATGTTATTCTTCGTTCTTCGACCGTTCCCAAGTTAATCTCATCGAGATGATCTTGGGATTCTAATTTATACTCCTCCTGTATAGGCCTTTCAAATCCTAACGGTGAATCATCGAAGATACAATCTAGCTTTGATGCAAACTCTTGCCCTTCAATTTGATCTTCTATTTTTTGGTTTTGTTTCTCTTTCGAGACTTGTTGATCTCCTTGATTTTCAACTTCTTGTTTTTCTTTTTCGTTAGAGACTCTTTGGCCTCTTTGTTTTTCTATTTTTTGTTTTTCTTCAGCCTAAGAGGCCGTATCTTTTCTGTAACCCTCTTTTTCACTTTCAACTTCATCGGCCATATTGGCCGTTTGATCGGCTATGTAAGCCGATATTCGAGCTAAAAAGCTCGAATAAACATCTTCATTTCTCATTCTTCCGTTGGAGCCGAATCTTTATCGGCTCGAATCATAAAACCTTTCCTAACATCCCAGCAAAAGGTTTTCTTTACTCCTTCTTCCTCATCCATCATTCCAGAATTATGAGCATCGAAAGGCTTAGTTTTCGCAAAAGCTGTCAGCTGTTGGTCAGCGAAATACATCCCTACTTCATACGTTTTCTGATCAGCTTCAAGTACTTCTAGCCCTTCATCATCATTCCAGAAAAAGATTTTCTGATGAACTGTCGAAGGAACGACACCTATTCCATGGATCCATTCTCGACCCAGCAACACATTAAAATTTGCTTTAGAAGGCGTCACTATGAACATAGTGGTCCTCTTCACACTTCCAATCTGTACATCGAGTAGGACCATGCCTTCAGGGTTTGAAGACTTCCCTGCGTAATCAGAAATCATTATATTGTGGGGTTTTAGATCAGTCGAGGATTTCCCAAACCTTTTTAGCATTGTTTTGGGCAAGATATTCACAGCTGCACCTCCATCTACCAAGACCTTATTAACTTCCTGCCCTTCGATCATTAAGGTCAACAGGAGAGGCTTCAGGTGATTTTTCATTTCTTTGGTAGGGGAGTCGAACACAGCAGAATTAAACTTAGGAACTACCCTCGAAATCTGGTTCACCCAAATTACCTTAGACTCATAATTAGGATCCTCGAAATAATCTTCACGATAAACATCCTCTTGTTCATTCACGGCCTCCATAGCCTCAGCAAACTCAGTTGGAAAAATGGAAACTATTCCACAAATGTCCTCTAAGGAGTCCTCGAATCCACTTTCAAAGCAGTCTGTGATCATATCTTCATCTTCCTCTAGGAATTTTCGAGAAGCTTCCCCTTTTGGAGGTACTGGGACCGAGAATCGGTTTCCCTTGACTCCCTCGAAAGTAGCCTTTCTCATCCTTTGCTGTCTCCTCCACTGAGTCTTGGTCATGTTATTCATGGGTTGTCGAAAACCACGTCCGTATCCCCCAGAATTAACTCGACTAGGCCCTGTCATAGGGTTTGGCATCTTCCCGGGAACCCCTTGCATAGGGTGGTTAGTCTGGTTCATTATTTGTTTTCCTCGACCCATGCCTCCCAAGCTTAGTCTAGGGGGAGTGTTCCATTTTCCCACAGGCACATTCGCATTAGGCACATAAGTATTGCCAAATCTGGAAGAATTATACATCTCCATTTTTCCGACAGGAGCATTATATTGAGGCATATGAATTTGCCTCATAGTCAATCCTGCCTTCGACCCTTCACAAACCTGGGCTCTTTCACGCAGCTTTTTAGCTTTGTAGCTTTTCAGCATTTCTGATTTTTCGAAGGCTTTGGCAGCAGCTCTGTCAAAAACGGCACTACAACGAGGACATAACATGACCTCCTTATCTGCCTCTTTCTTTTTCGAGAGGAACTCGACTAGGCTGTCTCCCTCCTTTGGGTAAATAGGTCCTTGCTCCTTAGCAAAGTCCTCCATTAATTCTTCGAGTTTCTCATCAGAGATAGGCTCGATGTTTTCATCCTCTTCCACAGTGACATCCACCATGTTGATCCCCAAAGGGACCGGTTCGACATAACCAGTATGAGCAGCAAATGGGTCTGTGTCGACTTTCATATCCTTTTCCTCGAATGCTAGACGACCATCAGTAATCGCCTTTTCGATCAGATCCCTGAAACGTACACAATTGTTAGTCCAATGCCCATACATATTATGATATTTACAGAACTTCTTTCCTTTCCTTTGCTCGAATGGTGGGATTTTATGATTCTCTGGAAGGATAATTTGTTTATCTTTTAATAAAATATCAAATATTTTTTCTGCCTTAGTTATATCGAAACTATACTTCTTACTCGAATTCCCTTCTGTATTACCTCCTGGTTTTAGCATTTGACATTGGTACGTAGGTCCAGGACGTAATTCTGCCAAATTAATCTCGAAATCTTCACTTGCTACTTCATAATTAGAATCCTCACTTAACTCGGAACTTTTTAAATACGCTATCTTTTCTTTTCGAACGAACTTGTCAAATTTCCTCAACTTTTCCTTTTCTAATTTAATTTGTTCAATCCTCCTTACTTTCTCAGCGAGTTGAGCCATATCCCTTAATTGTTCGTTTACTAATTTTTTGCGTATTGAGAAGTCTAAACCTGTTGCGGCGATTCTAACCAATTCATGTTCTGGAATATTAGTATAGCATCGAGATTTTAATTGCCTAAACCTATTTAAATAGTCATCTAATGTTTCATTACTTTGCCTTTTGATATTCATTAGATCGACTATACTAACCTTTGTTTCCTCTCGAAAGAAATGCTCATGAAAGCTACCCTCTAGCTGTACCCAAGTATGTATCGATTTAGGGGGTAAGGTAGTAAACCAGGTGAAAGCATGTTTGGTCAAAGAACTTGGGAAATATTTCATTTTCAAGTATTCATTATTAGCCAAATCCCCACATTCGACCCCATACCTAGCTATGTGTTCAACTGTTGACTCAGTTAATTCTCCTGCAAATTTCGAGAATTTTGGGACTTTCACTCCACGGGGTAATTCTACTTGTGTAATATAATCTGGAAAGGCTGACACAAAGTATGGGCGTTCATTTCGACCTACATCGAATCCATGTCTATTCAATATCCTTTCTACCATTTGATCTAAATTATCATTAGGGTTCCTGTTAGGTCGAACTATGTTTTGCAAATTTCCATGCCCCCCAGGGTTCTCTGTATCATTCAAATTCACACTCATTGCTCTCGAAGGAGGCCCATTACCCAACTTATCTCCTATTTTGTTTATTAGCTCGTAAAGGGGTGTCATAATGTTATGCATCTGAGTTGACAACAAATTGACCATGTCATGATTACTATGGTCCATTTGTTGTCGAAGGGCCATCATTGCTTGATTACTAATACCCGTGGGCATGTAACTACCCTGTCGAATTAATGAACCTTCCTGACTCGTTCCTACATGCTGATATGGGTCTTGCATCACAAAACCCAATCCACTTGGCCCAGGATTATATCCCTGTGGGGATATATTCATTTGTGAATTTGGCCCTATAAAACATTGGCATTTCGACATACGCAGGTTGGGTACTTCGCCAATTAGGTGGCATACCCCAAGGGTACTCTCTAGTAACATTTACTAACTCTTGAGTGGTATTATTATGCCTAGCATGGTTTTCAAGCAACACAGGAGGAGATCTTGCCCCCCTGGTCACATTGGTGACATTATCAAGATTGGGGTTAGGCTGTTCTACATCTACATTATTATGGTTTGCGTTCATGTTATCAGACGTAGACATAGTTCTTCCACTCCTCAATCTCATGCAATCCAAGCACCTAAAACTAGTCCAATTTGTTTTAAATTAAACGAGTCCCACCGGGCGTGCCAATTTGTTTACGGTGGAATTCGTCTTGGATTCTTTTTCTTTAGACTAGCATACAGTGTATTTCAATTTAGGTGTTTACTGTTTAAGTGTTTTACTGTGTTAATACCTTATTACTACCGGAAACGAATACTAGTGATTACTTGTTTCCAAATGCTCTTCGACAAATACCAACAAGTAACAATCATGCAGGCAAATAATAACGTGAACAGAATGAACAATGCATATATGTCCAATACAAATCATGGTTCATACGTCTTGTACCTTATGGCATCATCATTACAAGCAAAGACAAAAACAATAAAAAGACTACTCTACGCCTAATCTAGAAAAGAAAAGAAAACATGGTCGAAAAGGGGTCATACCCAAACACGATTCCATACACAAAAGCCATATGCGCGCAGGCGGAGAGTGCTTCAGAGTTCTATTTAGGTATGAGTTTTTCGGACCCTGAAGAGGTCCGTGATCTTTCTATTTATAGAGACACAATGGGTGGTTACTTCTGCACACGTATACTCTTAATCCATAACCGCTACCCACTACGTTTGCTACGTGGTTCAGAATAACTTCTTTAAACCGCTCTTCCCGCGTGTTCCTATTCTTTTCCTTGATTTAGATAACCGCTTCTGGCTTAGCCATTTTGACTTTTCCAAAGTGCATTATGTTCGACCTTACCTTGAATGTTTCCATGTGACATCTTGTTTCCAGCTCGAATGCTCTCGAATCTTAACTCGGCCCTGTCTCGAGTACCCCCTCTTAGGACTAGTTATAAGTCTTCCATGTATGGTAATCTAAATTAGTTGAACCGTTTTCGAGTCTGATCACTTCGAGTGGTCTCAACAAAAGGATATGCCAATTTAGATATTCGTGATGGAGGAAGTGGCTGTCTGCTTTGGTTTAATAGTCTGGTTGACATGAGGAAATTCTCCCAATCGGGACAAGATTTGTATATCAGAGTCCCTGCTTCAGAATTAGGTACTCCATCGACATTTTTATTTGATTTTTGCCTTCAATTTCTTTGCAATCTTTTACCGTTCGGTTTGGTGTTGATTATTGCATTATTTTAAGACAGAAAGGTGGAGTAAAGTCGCAAGATTTTTCTAACAACTGCAACTAAAGTTAGTTGCAAGATTATACCATTCGGTTGGTTGTATGTCAATTATTTTTTAAATTAAATACAATGTTTTCTCCTTCACTCAGCACGATTCACTTTCTTACCATAAATCAGTAGAGCTGTTGTGGTTAATGTTAGTGACTGATGATGTTCTGTTTCTTTTAGATCATGGTGGCCATGGAAACATCAAGAAAAAGATAGTAGAAATCGCAGTTGGAATGATTATTTTTGGATTAGTCATATGTGTATGCATATTTATAATAAAAAATCCAGGTAAGTACATAGACATAATTTACCATTGAATATAGCCAATTAAGAAGAAGCAAAGAAGAAAACAAAGTATATGCATTTTACATGTTAGTGTTTAAATACTGTTATCTTGCAACCAATCAGGTACAGCAAGAATACTTTACGGCAAATGTTACAAAATTAAACAGAGAAAAGAAGATCCTGATTTGCCAACTTTTGATTTGTCAGTCTTAGCTAATGCTACTGAAAAATTTTCAACTAAAAACAAGCTTGGAGAAGGTGGCTTTGGACCCGTATTCAAGGTGATAATGAAAACTGATAACCAAAATAGCATAACTATTTTCATAAAAAATATTTATAACTTTAGCATGTGGACCTTTTCAGGGAAAACTGATAGATGGACAAGAGTTCGCTGTCAAAAGGCTTTCAAAGAAGTCTGAGCAAGGATTAGAAGAGTTCAAAAATGAAGTAGCATTGATTGCAAAACTTCAGCACCGTAATCTTGTAAAGCTTCTGGGTTGCTGCATCGAAGGAGAAGAAAAAATGTTAATTTATGAATACATGCCCAACCAAAGTTTGGACTACTTTGTTTTTGGAAGGAGCTCTTACCATTTATTCTAAAACTCTATGGCAATTTTTATCTTATTGCTTGTTTGTACTTTACAAAATTATGGACACTGCAACTTCTATGCTAAATGCAAGCATGTTTTTAGCTAGATGAAACCAAAAAGTTGTTAGATTGGTGTAAGCGTTTCAGCATTATTAGTGGCATTGCTCGTGGACTTTTGTATCTTCATCAAGACTCTAGGTTGAGAATTATTCATAGAGACCTAAAAACTAGCAATATTTTACTAGATGCTAATTTGGACCCCAAAATATCAGACTTTGGCTTGGCTCCATCATTTTTGGGAGATCAAGTTGAGGCAAACACCAATAGGGTGGCTGGAACATAGTAAGTTTCTATTTGACTATGATTCCTTTACATTATGCTATTAAGTTTTAATTTTTTTATTTGAATGTTTTTATTTTTAGTGGTTATATGTCACCTGAGTATGCTACACGTGGACACTTTTCAGTGAGATCAGATGTCTTTAGTTATGGTGTGATAGTTCTAGAGATTGTAAGTGGGAAAAAAAATAGAGAATTTTCAAACCCAGAACACTGCAATAATCTTCTTGGACATGTAAGTATATTGATCTAATTGTGTTGCTAATTGATATAAGTGGAATTATTTAACTCATACTAATTTAATTCTATCCATCTTAGGCATGGACATTATGGACCAAAAAAAGAGCACTATAGCTATTAGATGAAGTATTCGGAGAACAATTCATGCCTTCGGAAGTCATACGATGCATACAAGTAGGCCTCTTGTGTGTGCAACAAAGACCAGAAGATAGGCCAGACATGTCATCAGTGGTTTTAATGTTGAATGGTGATAAATTATTGCCAAACCCAAAGGTTCCTGGTTTCTACACTGAAATAGATGTTACATCTGAAGCAAATTTTTTATTGGAAAATCACAATCTGGGATCCGTTAATAACTTTCCATCACATCGTTAGATGCAAGATAGGAAATGCAGGCAAGAAAATGATAAAGCTTCACCTTCTAATGTGGACATGTCACATATTTTATGATACATAACTAGTGAATGTGTTATTATTATGATTCCTTCTTTACCTTTGTTTTATGTATCCAAATAAATGTATGAGATACAATACAATGAAGACAAGAATTGTTAATTGTAATTTGCAATATAACGTAGTTGTGAAGTTTCTCTGAATCTTGACATGAAATAATTTAGACCACTCTTAAGTTGTTCAATAAATAGCAAGAAAACAAAAAATTAAGAAGTTTTTTTTGTCACTCGTGAGATTTGAGAGTCTTGGTACCTTATGTGTGTTAGATCCAATTGTAAATTATGTAACTTGAGTCACATCGAGAGTAAGAGATTCTAGTTCGAGGTTGATAAGGTCTTGGGATATGTAGCTACAATATCTATCATTTTATGTGGTGCGGTTCTTTTGGGTTCTTATCGATATGATTTTTCATCATGTACATATTTTGGAAATCTCATCAATGGTAGGCAGAGATCTCAAAATTGGCTTGAAAAGTCAAACTCTTTATTTTTAGGTAAAAAAAGATAAGCTAATTTATCCCAGTTTGACGGTCTAATTGAGCTAGACCTGGCCAATAAAATTAGGTTTAAAAGGTATTTTGGCTTATTTGTCCGTTCAATGTTTTTTCCTTTTTTTTATTACATGTAAAATTATTAAAATAAATTAAGTGGTTTAATTTGACTTGATTTATCATGTTAGACCTGGTAAGAAAGAAAACCGGTGTAAAAATTAGGTGAGACTAGATTGATGCATTTCACAATTCTAATGGTAAGAAAGAAAATCAATGTAAAAGTTAGGTGAGACTAGATTGATCCATTTTGACAATTCTAATGGTAATTTGTTAGCACAAATTGATAACATAGTAGATTACTCATTTAATCCGTGTAACTACGAAAAGTTTATTTTTTAATTTCTATACTTATAAAATATTCATTTTAATACATGTACTTCAACATTGTTAGTTTATGACGAGTCACTCATGTGTGTTATGTGTTTTATGTTTTAGTTTATGACAATTCTAATGGTAATTTGTTAGCAAAAATTGATAACATACTAGATTAGTTGCTCATTTAATTTGTGTAGTTACGAATTTACTTTTTAATTTCTATACTTAAAAAACATTCATTTTAGTTCTTATACAAGTACTTCAACATTGTTAACGATGAACAACGAGTCACTCATGTGTGTTATGTACTTTGTTTTAGTTTATGAAAAGTTCTACGGTGAGCTAGTGAGATAAGTGGTGCATGATGGACCAATATTTCTTTATTAGCTGTAACAAGTTGTACTTGTTGCTTCATTTAGACACGTCATTAGAAGGTTTCTAAAATAATAATGAAATTCTAGAAATAACCAGAACATTTTTCACTTAAATTTTAATAATCTTGGTAAATTATCTTAAATTTTAGATTTATTAAGCTTTTCCAAATTTCTAGATTCTTACCCTGATTGATGGGATGATTTAATAGAGAGAGGAATAAATTATAGTGAATTTTTTTAATAAATATTTTAGTTTAATTGGTGGTATTTAAAGAGATTTGTGAAAAATTAGAAATGAGTTCCGCATTATTTTTATACTCTCTCAATTGAGAGGATTCTAGTGGAATTTTGGAGAGAAGCATGTCAAATTACCCAATTAACCAAAATTTCACAAATTTTAAAAGTTTGCTGCCAATTTACTTATGAAATTGTTAATAACCCTTGATATAATAGTCTTTGTCTTAGGAAAGTCTCAAATTGATTGTTAGATCTTTATTCATTAAATAAAGCATAGAAACACATGAGTGAATAAACTAATTCATTGGAGAATTAAGAAAATAAGTTTTTTTAATCATAAATAATTTCCTAATTCAATTATTTCAGGATTTTGTAATCAAAAAGAGTTTGATTACGCACTTCTAATTAATTCAGATAAAAATACTAAAATATATAATTAAAAAAATTAATTAATTTGATTCATCAATGTGAGTTCATGAAAAATAACTACATGATAGGTAAATATTTTAACATGATATTTGAATCTATTAAACAAAGGAAAAGAATTAACCAAAAGTGGAATAATCTTTTTTAGAGGGTTTGACTTTTAGCCTCTTACATAACCTCAACAAGAAATAGAAAGAGACAAAAGAGATATAAGACTCAAACTAAAAACTGAATGATTACAATGTGTTTTAGACATTCTTGTTTATAATTAAAATTAGGACAACCTTGCAAGCATGAAGATGCTTATTAGGCAACATAACAATGCTCCTAAAGCATGGATGTGCATCTTTCAACCTTGGGGCATGCATCACTCAAGCATAGTTGTGCATATTAGGATGTACGTAAGTGTGCATGTTCTAGTTAAGGACACTTCAAGTAAGCATGATCATAATGTTAATTATGATCGGGTATCTCCTAGTCAAGCGTCTTCTACAATATTTGTTTGATTCTCATGAACAGTAAGACAAATCAATTCTTTAGACAAGATGTACAAATTCTATTCCCTCATTTTTTCTATATTTATATAATAATGTTATAATTTTGTGTATATATATATATATATATATATATATATATATAT